GAGCAAAGAAATTAGGTGATAGTTAAAGGGAGAAATAGGGCTAAGTAAGGAATTTTTAAAACTTTAGAAATTATCAGGTCAGCTTGTGACCTGGTGATTAAGGAGCCAATTGCGTAGTTTGAATCTTGGACCTGCTGGGTTGAGAAATAAGCTGGGAGCGTGTGTGTGCCTAAAATTTTGAAAGGAGGGAGAGATGGAGATGGGAGTGTGGTATGACCATTCCCCACGGGGTGTGTGGGGGTGCTTTCTCCATGTCTCCATGGTGAGTACATACACCCTTTAGCCAAAAGGGGGGAAAATGGTAATTTCAATAGGAATGCTTACTAAAGAGAATAAAAGGATGGGGAATACAATGAGAAGTGTTGCAAGAAGGCCAAGGAGGGCTGGCTCTGAAGTACAGCAGTAGAACACTGTGCACTGGAGCCAGACTCCACAGGGCCAACTGTGGTTCAAATCCTGGCACGAATTACTTGAAAACATGCTGAGTACATGTGTGCTGCCACTCAACTGAATAGAGAAATGAAGGGAAAAGGATTATGGCATAACCCTGTCCCATTTGGTGTTGGTGTGGAGAGTTTGTGTCTCTCTGGGTAGCTAGTGTCTTTTAGTAAAAATAATAAGAGGCCTAGGGATGGGAATTTAGGCAATCTTTTGTGTGCAAACTGCTATGTTTAATAAGCATTTTTAAAAAATCAATAAAGTTGGAAAAAGTGGTCACTCTGATAGAAAGGGGTCTGATTGGGGCTGACAGGAGGCATGATGGTTCCCTCTTTCTCCAGTCAAATTAAAAAGTAATAATAATGGGGCTGGCAGGTGGCATAGTGGTTAAGGACAGTAGACTCCCACATGGACAACTGCAGTTTGAGTCCCGGACCTGGCAGCTTGCTTTCTCACTTTCTCTTTGTTCCTCTCTGGTCAAATTAAAATAAACAAATAATTAAATGAAGTTAAATAAAATAATTTAAAAAGTTTTAAAAAGAAAAATACAGCCCTTTTTGGCTCTCTGAGTAGCACCATGGTGGTTGGCAAGAATAAGCGCCTTACGAAAGGCGGCAAAAAGGGAGCCAAGAAGAAAGTGGTTGATCCATTTTCTAAAAAAGATTGGTATGACGTGAAAGCACCTGCTATGTTCAACATAAGAAATATTGGGAAGACGCTGGTTACCAGGACTCAAGGAACCAAAATTACGTCCGACAGCCTGAAGGGCCATGTGTTTGAAGTGAGCCTTACAGATCTGCAGAATGACGAAGTCGCATTTAAGAAATTCAAGCTAATTACTGAAGCTGTTCAGGGCAAAAACTGCCTGACCAACTTCCATGGCATGGATCTCACCCATCACAAAATGTGTTCCATGGTCAAAAAATGGCAGACCATGATTGAAGCTCATGTCGATGGCAAGACTACCGATGGTTATTTGCTTCGTCTCTTCTGTGTTGGGTTTACTAAAAAACGCAACAATCAGATACGGAAGACCTCTTATGCCCAGCATCAGCAGGTCCGCCAAATCCGGAAGAAGATGATGGAAATCATGACCCGGGAGGTGCAGACAAATGACTTGAAAGAAGTTTCATGAAACTGATTCCAGACAGCATTGGAAAAGACATAGAAAAGGCCTGCCAAGTCCATCTATCCACTCCACGATGTCTTCGTCAGGAAAGTCAAAAATGCTGAAGAAGCCCAAGTTTGAATTGGGAAAACTCATGGAGCTTCATAGGGAAGGTAGTAGCTCTGGAAAAGCTACTGGGGATGAGACGGGCGCCAAAGTTGAACGACCTGATGGATATGAACCACCAGCCCAAGAATCTGTTTAAAATTCAGGCTTTTAATAGTGACAAATAAAAAGTCCTATTTGTAACAAAAAAAAATACAATTTTATTTTATTTATAACTCTGAAAGAAAGAGAAAAAAAGGAAAGGAAGGAAGGATGGAAGGAAGGAAGAGAAAGGGGTCTGATAAAAAAAGGCAGACAGGAGACTAGCAGTTAGTGTAATAGCTATGTCATTGGACTCCCACGTAGTCGACCGCGGTTTACGACCAGGACCTGGTGACTTAAAACTCACACCGGGTGTGTGTGCGTGCGTGCCCAAGATCCCAAGAGGAGAATGGAGGAGAAGGGATTACGACATGACCATCACCCGGGGGGGTGATTTCTCACTTTCTGTCTCTCTGTCTCTCTGTCTGTCTGGCGAGCGCACACACCCTATAGTGAAAAGCTCTCCAAAAAAAAAAAAAAGAAAAGAAAAAAGAAAGGCAGATGGTAGGGGCCCACAGGTGGTGTGGTGGTTAAGGTGCTAGGCTCTCACATAGCCAATCACATTTCCAGTTCCAGCCACTTGAAAATCACACCAGGCATATGTGCATGTGTGGCCAAAATTCCAAGAGGAAACAGGATAACAGCATGGCCATATCCCTTTGGAGGGTAATTTCTCATTTTCCCTATCACTGTCTCTTTCTGGCAAGTGCACACTTGCCCTTTGGCAAAAACAAACAGAAAACAAAGGCAGCCAGTATAGGAATGACAATGTATTTTGGACATAGTGAAGTCAGTGAAATATTTAGGCAAAGGGAGCAATTTATTAATAACGAGCACAAAGGATTTTGAGCTTTAAGATGATAATGCCTATGGGACTAGCAGTTAGCATAATGGCTATGCTGCTGGACTGCCATGTAGTTGACCACGGTTCGTGTCCCAGAACCGGTGGCTTAAAACGCATGCTAGGCGCGTGTTCATGTGTGCCCAAGATCCCAAGAGGAGCATGGAGGAGAAGGGATTGTGGTGTGGCCATTCCCCCTGGGGGGTGATTTCTTGCTTTCTGTCTCTCAGTCTCTCTCTGTCTGTCTGGCGAGCACATGCGCCCTATAGCAAAAACCTCTCCAAAATAAATAAATAACTAAATAAGATGATAATGCATAAGAAAAATGGTATTTTACAAAAGACCAATCCAGTAGGTGGACACTATTTAAATTATCCTGTATCAAATTAGCAAGGATTGGGACCAGTAGATGGCATAATGGTTATGTTGCTGGACTCCCATGTAGTTAACTGTGGTTTAACTCCCAGACCCTGCAGCTTAAAACTCACGACAGGCATGTGCATGCATGCCCCAAATCCCAAGAGGACAGTAGAGGAGAAGGGATTGTGGCATGGCCATCTTCCCCTGGGGATGATTTCTCACTTTTTCTCTGGCGAGCACAAGCATCCTATACCAAAAGTCTCTCTCTCTCTCTCTCTCTCTCTCACACACACACACACACACACACACACACACACACTCTAAATTGGCAAGGATTTACCTTGCCAAGATTATTCTTGGCACTTTTATATTAATTTAAATTGCATTGGGAAAATACATAATAGTAATTGAAAAGCAACTAATTATAAGCAATTATAAGCCAAATTATGTTTATACTATAATTAGTGTTTGAGGTGGTTTAGTAGGCAGATTCTTCATTTCAATAAGCAACCATCAAATAATTGAATAGCTTGTAAAACAGAAATACTTCTTTTATCTTTATTCCAAGTATAACAGCCACATTCTCTTTTAATTATTTTTATAATATAAGCAACATTGTTATCTTTGGTCCTAATCCCCAGCTTGAGTTGGATGCTTTCAAAAACATGGCAAGAGTAGTATATATATATACCTACCTCACAACATAGCTTCTTTCAACAGATTTCATGGAGACATGTGAATCCACATTCTTGTAAGACAACTATTCATAATATGCTGCAGGGTATCTAGAGTACAAACTCATCCGATGTCAGTTTCAGTGGATTTTTCTTACTAATGTAATCTGATTTCCACTTTCAGGAAAGTTCTTCTCTTAAGGATGATGTGAAAAGAAAGGTCTTCTTGCCATGTGACAATGGTCATTTTTATGTCAGTTTGGCTTTTTCCTACCATAATCTCCAAGTAAAAGTCCTAACTTTGTTAGTTTTGTCATCTCAGGTTAAACTTTTTTATCTTTTACGTTTATTAGTGAAATATTAGATTGATGGTTCTTTACTAGTGAGAGCTCTGGAATCTCCCTTGTTTTCATTTCCATGTAAATCCTTAAGCTGTGGTATGATAGCACTGGAAATTTGGGGGTGGGGGGGGTGGGGAGGAGATAGGATAGACCCTTTAATGAGTTCATCAGCTTAAAATTCAAAGAAAAATATTATTAAATAATTTCAGATTGTACTTAACAGATCTAGTTTCTAGAAATAGTTTGGCAGAATCAACACGTACTAGTTGACCTAATTGACCACGAAAGTTGGCCAGAGCTTGATAGCAGCAGCTGCGTTCAGCCAACTCCAAGGCTTGGAAAAAACACACGGTGGGAGGTAGGAAGGTAGAGCCCAAACCCTCCAAAGCTGGGCGCCACGTTGCTTTTCCCTTTTGAAATAGAGAGACAACGCTTCTGGGTATTGTGTAAACGGGTCGACAGCTGCAATCATGCGCACACTAGCGAAGGCGTGCGAAGAATTAAAGTGCTTTCTAATGTGACCCTGGCAATGTGTGCATCACGGTCAAATGCTGAATTTTAACGTCCGGCTGCGTTCGCTTCGGGGAAGTCTACTTTAAAGGACCAAGAACACTAGCGGTCGCGGTAAACTGCATAGGATCAGAACCACCGCTCCAACCCAGCACTGGCCACCGCCCCCGCCCAATCCCGCCAACACCTCGAAGGACCCACCCATGTTCTCTGCTAACCAGCTGTTCCACGCAGCGCTGGATATTCTCTTTTCACTCCGTTCCCGCTTGACCTACCTACTTTACACTCTACCCCAGATTCCTACTCCCTAGTCGGACATCGCAGCCCCTTTCTCCCGCTCGGAGAACAGCATTAGCCCCAGCCGCAGCGCAGCTGGTCGCTGCCAGCGATCCCGCAGGCCTAACGCCAGCCAGCCGCCACTCAGCGATGAGTGATTGACAGGCGGCTGCAGCTATGAGCCGTGGGGGCGGGACCCTACGTCACTTCCTGGCCTTTCGGGGAGACGGGGTATATAATGCCGGTGCTCACGCAGCGGCCTCGCTTACACAGTATGGCCGGCGACATTAGCTAGCGCTCGCTCAACTCTCTCTAACGGGGAAGCAGCGGACTACAAGAGACTGAACTGTATCTGCCTCTATTTCCAACAGACTCACGTTCAACTTTCGCTCACAACACAAGAAGCCGGGAAAATTTTATTAGTCCTTTTTTTAAAAAAGTTAATATAAAATTATAACAAACAAAAAAAAAGGAACCTGAACTTTAGTAACACAGCTGGAACAATCCGCAGCAGCGGCGGGAGAAGAGATTTAATTTAGTTGATTTTCTGTGGTTGTTGGTTGTTCGCTAGTCTCACGGTGATGGAAGCTGCACATTTTTGCGAAGGAACCGAGAAGCTGCTGGAGGTTTGGTTCTCCCGGCAGCAGCCCGACGCAAATCAAGGATCTGGGGATCTTCGCACTATCCCAAGGTGGGTGCCCAGGAGCTCGCCGGCAAATCCGGGCCTGCTGGCTGCCGCCGCCCGCAGGGCAGCAGACATGGGCTGGGGCCGCGTTCTCGCAGGCTTCAGGTGCGACCGTGTCCGCGGGCGGAGGCGGCCCCGGCGTGGTGCACGGCGCAGGCTGTGG